CATCCCCTCCCTCCCTCCCATACATACATACATACATAGACACATAAGCATATATAATCATGGTGATATTAAAGCTGGCAACCCGAAGGGGGAATCAATTAACAAAAATGATTTTGTTTGGATTTTTAAGAAGACCAAATTGGTTAAAATTCGATTCGAATTAACATCACAGGACCAAAGAAACAAACATAACGCCAGAAATTGGGCAAATGTTGGATTTTTCAAAGAATAAAGTTAAATAAAAGTTTAAAACTAAAGTTTAATAAAATTAAGAGCCATCTGTTATTCAATATGCCTGTGATGTTCTAATATTCGGCACCAGAAGACAAAATTTCGACACGTAGAAAACGTCAGCAAAAAAAAATGCCGGTTAAGGGAGCTTCCTGGTACCATCGCTGCAACCACAGTGTGGCAAACATGACGGCCGACATGTCAAACCTGTTAGGGATCAAACATCACAGCTCTGTGACCGACATGTCCAATCTTTTAGATATCAAACATCACAGCTCTGTGGCCCACATGTCCAACATGTTAGAGATCAAACATCACAGCTCTGTGACCGACATGTCCAACCTGTTAGAGATCAAACATCACAGCTCTGTGGTCAACATGTCCAACCTTTTAGAGATCAAACATCACAGCTCTGTGACCGACATGTCCAACCTGTTAGAGATCAAACATCACAGCTCTGTGGCCGACATGTCCAACCTGTTAGAGATCAAACATCACAGCTCTGTGGCCCACATGTCCAACCTGTTAGAGGTCAAACATCTCAGCTCTGTGACCGACATGTCCAACCTGTTAGAGAAAACATTACATCTTTGTGGAAAACATTTTAAAAGGCTTATCAAGTAATTGAGTTCGACATGGTAGCCGTTCTATTTGCAATAGACAACCGTCAGAAGCAGTTAAGGAAATCAAAATGCAAAAGATTGAAACTGAGATCAAAATGCAAAATATTGAAACTAAGTGTAGTGAGGCTGGTTGTCAAACATTGTGGTATAAAAAGATGAACATTAATATATATGCTGATTGCTAGCAAGCTTGTAGGTTGACATTAACTGTTATCTTCTACTTAGAGCTAAGCGGAATACTGTTCTGATGTACAAGTAAGGCTATATCTGTAGACTTCTATTGTATCTTACTGTTAATGTACTAGATAAGTACAATTGTTAACTTCCTGTGACCTTTTCATTAGATGTTATTTCCATAGGTTATAAGAAGAGTTGATAGTCGACAAGAAGCCATGATGTTAAAATGGCTGCGCTTTAGTGAGATTTAAACATTTCCTTTAGAGTGAGACTCTGCTTAAAGTTAGCTGTAACCAACAATGTGCAGGTGTTGAAGTTGTAAGGAAAATATAATCTAGGATCTAACATACAGAGGTGCTGCGGACTGTGTCAGGTATTGTGAGATATCTACAGATATCTCCAATAAAAGGTAAATTAGAGCTACCATCATTTACTAACCAGGAAAAGTAATATCTTAGTTATTATAATCGTGTATGTGCATTTTGCTTTGAAAGCGTTTTATTAATAGATCTGCAGTTTTGGTACCAAATATACGTGTTTGTCATTTTTGTGTCTTTGATGGGGTCACTTTTAGTAGTAGACAAGCCTATAATTACTGATCTCCTTGCACATAGACAAGCCCTGTGGGTAGGTGATACAAGCCTGTACTTACTGATCTCCTTGCACATAGACAGGCCCTGTGGGTAGGTTAGACAAGCCTGTACTTACTGATCTCCTTGCACATAGACAGGCCCTGTGGGTAGGTGATACAAGCCTGTACTTACTGATCTCCTTGCACATAGACAGGCCCTGTGGGTAGGTGATACAAGCCTGTACTTACTGATCTCCTTGAACATAGACAGGCCCTGTGGGTAGGTGATACAAGCCTGTACTTACTGATCTCCTTGAACATAGACAGGCCCTGTGGGTAGGTGAGACAAGCCTGTACTTACTGATCTCCCTGCACATAGACAGACCCTGTGGGTAGCTGATACAAGCCTGTACTTACTGATCTCCTTGCACATAGACAGGCCCTGTGGGTAGGTGATACAAGCCTGTACTTACTGATCTCCTTGAACATAGACAGGCCCTGTGGGTAGGTGATAGGAGCCTGTACTTACTGATCTCCTTGCACATAGACAGGCCCTGTGGGTAGGTGAGACAAGCCTGTACTTACTGATCTCCTTGAACATAGACAGGCCCTGTGGGTAGGTGATACAAGCCTGTACTTACTGATCTCCTTGAACATAGACAGGCCCTGTGGGTAGGTGAAACAAGCCTGTACTTACTGATCTCCTTGCACATAAACAGGCCCTGTGGGTAGGTGATGGGAGCCTGTACTTACTGATCTCCTTGCACATAGACAGGCCCTGTGGGTAGGTGATACAAGCCTGTACTTACTGATCTCTAACTGATGCCTTTTAGTCATTGTAGGCTACTATATTTCGGCAAAGAAAAAATATATATGATATGGTCATGTGAATAAGAAATCAGAGTAAAAGAAGACAGAAAAACAATGATGATGATAAGGCCGAAAAATGAGTTATAATTGAAAGCCAAAACCGGCAGTGCAACGCCTTTTTTTACCAGTCAACCCATGTCAGAGTTCGTGTTACTAAGTCTATTTTATTTTAAGTTTAGCTTAAGTGACAAGAAAAGTTCTGTAAACTGGAGCTGGAGCCACATGTTGTATTTATTCTTGGATGTTCAATTAATGCCACTGTGTTATTGGTGACAGATGGGTGGCATCTTACAGACCAACCTTGTGTTTTAGTTGACAGCATGTTTACACGTACAAGGACACGGGTGGTTAATGTCATGATGTTGTAAAGTAGCTGGCAGGATGGTGTAACAGCTATTGTATACTGAACGTCAGAAACACTTCATTCCAATGAAACAACTGTATTACTTGAGGTTTTCCTCCTCAAATTATACATGGACATAAGACAATCTTGTTCGTATACATGCTGTAGCTCCGTTATTATATACTTCCTATATAAGCAGAAGCATTAAGCAATGTATTTGGTTTCTTTATCATGGCGATCAGCACTGAACTCGACTCGAGATTCAGGTGAGACATTTTTCTGTTGGTTACCGTCAGACGTGGTCAGGTAAAACAAAACTACAGTGGAAAAGACTAGAGAGACCATGTTCAGGATGGATGTTCACATTTCTGATCTAAAACAGGTTCAGATGACTGAGAACCGAGTTTGAGTGGTCTTTATTTTAGGCAGAGTACTTCCAGGATGACAGACAATACTGATCGCCAGGTGCCTACTTTATCTAAAACACGTTATATACTACTACAAACTACTAGACATGTGATGAATCTTTCTAATCGAAACAACAGATGTTATATATATCACCACTTTCTACTTCTACTCCCACACAGTACGTTTTATGCATCAGTGTCCAAGCAATCTAGAATAGTCCGGTTTCACGAGTAAAAATTGTTCAGCATCACACTAAAAGGAACATCAATGGCAAAGCACTGTCCCAACTACAGAATATAAAATACTTGAAGCTGTTGATATTGAGACGGCTGCCAGCTAATCGCATTCGTGCCTGCATATTTTCAGGGACAATGGGCCTAATTTTTGTTGCTATATATCATGTCAAAACTAAAGCTAAATAAACCTACAAGACTGAAAAAACAAACCTCCGGAAAATGAAACTACAAAATACTACAACAAGTTTTGTTGCTATCATAATTAAGCCCATGTCTTTTACTTTCTTGTTACAATCATAACTATGAGCTTACGTTGGACTAACTGCTTTGCTGAAATCCAGAAAGAAAGGCTTGAACAAAATCGACGAAACGCTTTTAGTATTATTTTGATATATATGCGTCGTATAATAAACCGTTGTCAATACATGTGGATTGAAACTAGTACTAAGTAGTTATTTGTTCAAATGGTAACACTATGTCGATAGTCTGTTCACATCATTGTTTTGATCTATCACATACTTGTTGACCATAGTGATGCTTTAGTTACTACAAATGACCCAGTTCACTGTAATTTTTCACTGTAGTGAAGACTCCTAGATGCTGATGGCGTTGGGGATGTTCTGGGGGTCCAGATAATCGTACGGCTGGAAACGTTTCCTCTTGTTTTTATACTTGATCTCGTTGGAGATGCGGCTCAGTTCTTGCTGAAACCTGGTTAAGAATTAAACATGAAAATTTGATGCTGTTTCAATTTCAGGAAAATGCAACAATTTTAAAGGCTGTGTAAATTAAAGGCTAATGAAAGATATGTTACAAATCTGAATAATAAAAACAAGAACTTACTCAAAGATGACTTGGTCAACCTCCTCTCCCCGGAGGTAGTCGACCTCAAAGTCACCCAGAGGTTGCGTCGCGCGTTCACTGAGGATCAACCCCAGAGTGTTGATTTTAGCGGCGTCTTTCTTTGCTGGAAGTGCGTCCAGGACGTCCTGCTCCGTCAATGCAGCCTAATATTTTGATAGATGAGGTAGAATATCAACAAAACAAGGAAGGAACTGCGTAATCATCATCATCATATATCATCCTCCGAAGAGGTGGAGCATACAAAGTTAGATCTCCAAAACTGTTTGTCATCCATCGCAGAGAAGTTCCTGGCCCTCCAAGCGTAAACTCGTGTATAGAATCGAAGTATACCATGTACTGTATATTCCATTGCTAGAAATGTTAATATTTTGATAACTAAGCTATCGAATCAAGAACCGTGCTTATCTAGTTCTGTGTCTGAATGGGTTAGGGTCAAGATCAGGCAAGTGTGGTTCTGAGTAGTCTCAGAGTTTTCTAGCTCGTAGATTTGCCCCAGGTACGGTTCTGATTTGCCCCAGGTACGGTTCTTCATACGAGTGGGCTATCCATACCCGTGCCTGAGCATGGGTCTGGATAAAGCAAGGTACTGGGTACTGCATCAGCTATATCTAAGCCGTACAAGAATGTTGTGGATAAAATCAGTGTAATACTGGCATGCCATCGTTTAAACAATAAATCGGCTCTCAAAGTCTTCCAATACAAGAGGGTGTGAAGAAAATGATGATATGAAACCTTAGTACTGGGTGGATCCTTGATCAACATGAGCGGCATGGCTGGTACGAAGCCGTACTGGTCTAGCTGCATGAAGTTGACGGCTGCGTGCTGCACGCTGCTGGTGAAGATGATGGAGGTGAGGGTCTGGATCAGCTCATCCAGTGTGGAGAACTTCCCGTTTCCGGGGATTCCCTTGAACAAGAAGATGGTAACCAATGACAGTTTGGTAATATAACAAAATATGGCGTGTTCTAAGGCTTTACACATTGCGATTTACGGGCTAGTGGTTCAAAGTGCGCGATAGCATATGACAAACTTCTTTGTACTTTTTGGAGACGTAGTCTAGATGGACGATGTTACGTAACATTCATCAATTGTAAAGCTTTGAATATCACACCTTGATCGCAGTTTTCCCACCCTCTGTAGAAACAAGAGCCTCTGCAAAGGCCTGGATCTCGTGATCTTTCTGTAGTTTTGTGGATCGATCTAGGAAACATTATGGATGTCAGTTTTTAGAGTTTTGTCACCTTATAAAATACAACGACTTTGGCATCTGGCCTACACTTATCGCTGCGTTACGCTGGCCAGTCACCAGCCAAGAACGTAATCTTCTTCCATTGTTGGAGGGAAACTTATATTACCAGCCAATCATATTGCCTACTGCTCGTAAATGGCAACATGATTGGCTTTTGACGGCTTGCTGGTGTCACAGTGATCTCGCCCCCCAGCGATTTCGCCCTCCCTGCTGGGTGAGATCGCTAGTGATTTCGCCCTGCCTCCGTAGATCTCGCCTTCCCTCCCCCCTCCCGCCCCTTAGCTAGTCTACTTTTTACACCGTACCACAGGTATGGCAGGTACACACATTTGATTAACAATTCTAACGATAGTATTTCATGCATGTTCGGTTGAAGCAAGAAAGTAACCTCATTGGTTGAAATATTCTCTCTTTCTATGCTCAACATCATAGGCATCTCAACAACACAGGGTTTGAGCTGAACATTGGTGAAATAGTTTTGAGAGTGTTCACATAACTCCGCAACGTAATTCCGCAAATACAACGAAATACTATGATTAGAATTATTTAACAAATTTGTGTGCTTGAACGTGTTTAAACGGAAGTTTTTGAGGAAATAACTGATTTTCTGGTGGGCGAGGTGGGGGGACCAAATCACTAGCGGTGAGGGCGAAATCTCTAGAGATCTCGACCCGGGAGGACAACATCTCTAGAGATTTTGCCCCGCGAAATCACTGGGGGGGGGGGGCAAGATCGCTGTGACACCGGCACTTTTTGCAGCAAGAAGCATTAAGCGCACGACAGCATTTTGTAATTATGTTCTAATTAATCTTTAGGTAATAATAGTATGAATACATAAGCAAAGGTAATGGCTATTCCTCCCTACTTAACTACTGGTATCGAATTGTGTTTTCCGGACCTACCAGCGTTGCCATAGAATATCTTCACCACTCCTGTGACATATTCTTTAATGGCGTTGTAAGTTGGCATCGCGTCGTCCCTATAGTAGTACTTTGGGAGGGCCTTCACATCGTCCACCTGATTAAAAAAACATTTGCATAAGTTAAGTTTAACAATAATTCCCACTATTTACCACAATGGTTTTAAAACATTTTCTTATTTATTATGCAAATGAGTTAAACGACGGTACATCAACAGCGATAGCTAGTACCTGTGATGAAATGAAATTGATATACATGGAATTTTTGGATGCAGTACTCACGCCTCGTGCCTTGAGGTCTTCTGGAAGCGTCCCATCCACGTCCATTCGCCATGTCTTCAGTCTAATGGAGAAATGTGACGATTCAGTCTTCATTTAGGTAAACATCAAAGAAGAAAGCTGTCAAAAATTACCCACTTGGGTGCTCAAAAAGTCACATAGACAGGGCAGCTTGACCTTTAAATTTTTGTCCATTTAGTCCATAATTCTTTGTCATCGTATCAAAAAACAATTAGACCGGAATGGCCTCTGACCCCCGGTCTGTAGATCTACCCAGCATCAAAAAGAAGGACTCCCCCCCCCCCTCCAGCTGCGAAATGCCAACAACTAGCAACATACCAAGAAAAAGGCTGTCTACAGTTGGATGGATGCTCTCGTCAATGGGCCTTCTGAGCCTGTGACCTTATTTGCGTAGCGGTTAATGGTGGGGCACATCGATGATATTGTCGTCTTCTTTGATAAGTGAATTTCATTAAATATTTGGTGATGTCTTACATGAAACATGTGCCGATGATATACTAGTAGTCATCCTCTTTGATAAGTTAATTTCATTAAATATTTGTGATGTCTTCTTACATGAAACATGTGCCGATGCCGATGTCTTCTTTGATAAGTTAAGTTAATTTCATTAAATATTTCAAAAGCAACCTTTAAACGCAAATCTTCAACATCACACTAATATTACCACATTGAGATGTTCCATATTTACCTTCGCCAAGAAGGTTATGTTTTCAGTAGCGTTTGTCTGTGTGTGTGTGTGTTTGTGTGTGTGTGGTTTAGCAAGATAACTCAAGAAGCAGTGGATGGATTGGAATGAAACTTGGTAGGTGGGTAGGTCTTCATGAGACCTAGAAATGATTAGATTTTGGGCCCCCTGGCGACTTTCCTAGGTACTGCAGCAGAACTTCCGGTTTTGATATCTCGTGACCTGGACATGCTAGGGTCACGAATTTTGGATGGCAGATAGCTCTTGGGATAGAGAAAAAGTGACATGAGTTTGGGTCCCCTAGCGGCTTGTTCTGGAACTGCAGGAGCATTTGTTGAAAAAAAATTCGAAGGACGATAACTCAAGAACCGGTTGACGTATTGTCGTGATTTTTGGTATGTAGGTAGTTGAAGTGATGCTTGACATAATCAGATGGCAATTATGCAAATCAGGACTTAATTTGCATAATTAATGAGGAAATTCTATAAATCTGCCTTGTTCAATAATAGAACTATGAAACACTTGTGACATCTACTTGAGAACGAGAAAAACATCTGAGGATATAGATTATGTAAATGAGGACCTAATTTGCATAATTAATGGCAAATTCTTATAATTCCATAGTTGTAACTGCTGCACCCCGAATTTCATACTTGCCACATTTGGAAGTTAAGTGAAGGTGAACATCAATAAACATAATTTATTCAAATCATGACCTCATTTGCATAATTTATGAGGAAGTGCTATAATAGCCTTTTTGTTATGATAAGGCCGTCATTGGATGGAGAATATGATCAACTGATATAATCCATGCAAATGAGGCTCTTATTTACAAAATCAATGATTAAAATTGTATAATTCGTCACCCGCAAGGGTTAACATCATTTGGCGAAGGTATGAGATCGTGGAACTCTTGTTATTATTTCACTGACATATTGACGTTTTACGAAGTTGTACAGATTTCATAACCTAGGATGTCACCTTTTTTTCATCAGCTCGAAGGCACCCTTCTCTCCGATCATCGTGATTTGGGTAAGGCCGCCGCCTTCGTTGATCAAGGCTTCCCTTCCAAAGCTGAAAAAATATATCACGAAAGAAAATTGACAATAGACAGATACTTAGTAAAAAGAGCATTCATGATAACCTCTGCAATCAAATAAATAATGGGATCAGACATTTACCTGTCCCGTTATTTAAACGTTAGAATTAACTTGAACTTTTATGATTTTAAATCTCAGGATGCTGCGTCCTTGAGTAAACAAATGGATGCTTCTGTACTTTAATTTGGAAGCTCACATGAACCTGTAGATAACATAAACTGATTAAAATTAAATTCATGGAGATTTCAGCCGTGTCTACTGCCTGAAACAAAGTCATATTACCGGGAAGATCTTTTTGATAAGGTTGTGGAGGTTTCCCCACTAATTTTCAGCAAATCATTATAAAAGAAAGCAAAATGCCCAGAAAGTTGCAGCAAGGCGAAATACACCATGCACCAAACATAAATACTACAATGAACATAGCAAAGTATGTAGTCTGGAGGACATGGTGTGAGAAAGATGTGTACGGTTTATCACTGGTCCACATATTTAGAGATGAGGTAAAATATTTTTTCAACCAGGAGTTGGACAACTGATGTAATGATGCTTATGTTTTTAGATATTTTCTCACTGTACCGTATGTAAGTGTCTTTTGTAAGTGTATTTTGCATTGTAATAAAGAAAAAATCATACTCGTTGATGGCCATCAGGTTGAAAAAGTGAGGCTCCAGGAGGCGCTGGATCGGGTGTGAGCGGGAGAGTGTTGTCTTGGCCGCAAGAGCGCATGCCTCAACCACGAGGTGGGTAAAACCTGGATAACAAGAAAGGGCAGATTATTATATTAGGTCTTCGTAACAATAGGATGTTGGGCTTGCTATATAGCTGGAAGCAATGCAGCATGGTATAAAGTTACAAGAGTTCTACGATCTCGTACCTTCGCCAGATGATGTTAAAATTTAGGACTTCCAAATACGAGCGCATACACAGGCTACCAAAACACAAACTTCTGATGAAGATAACTAGGATGCTAAGATTTTTTCAGAATATGTCTGCTGAAATTCAATCAATGTATTGATATCTATACGGTTGATGTTAGAACATGCATTTGAAAAAGACGATGTACAAAGTCAGTGACAGTACCAAGGTGGGGTACAGCCTCGTGGTAGTTCCCATCTGCGCAGTTGAACCACATCTTGGCATAAAGCCAGGTGTACTCGGGATCGCTTGGCAGGAACACCTGTGGTTTGGACACACCGTTTAAACTATTGGCTGGCGTCACTAGCATACATGTATGTACGTCAAGCTACTATCCTGCCTGGCAGCTAGGTCTACTCTTCGTGCTTGTCGCTGCGTCATCAGCGCTTATCACCCGTCAACCAATTAAATACTTCCCCTTCTGTGGTTGGATGTAGAATTTCCGGCCAATCACGTTGCCTCTTGTCTGTAGACGGCGACGCGATTGGCTAGTGATAACTGACCAACACTAAGGCAGCGACAGGGACGTTGCCTGATATATTGGCAAGACTAGTACTGGCACTAGATCTGTTGCCCCGGCCTCTCTAAAATCGTGATTTGGATTTATTATCTCCGTAATTCATCCCGTAGTAGAGTTTTAATTTTCATATGAGCATGATTTGAATTGACATTTTACATTGATTGATCTAATAAGGGTTGCAAATCATCATTGAATAAAATCATAAGTAGCTTCAATATATGACATTGGATGGTACATGTACATCGAATGGAATGGAATGGCTTTTTAGACAATAACACAGAGAAAACATTCGATGGTCTAATCAGAATCATCGGAATTAAACCAGACAACTTACCGGATGCTGCTTTCCTCCGTCGTTAGGGTACAGTTGGATGGCTACAGGCACCAGATCTTTGTTGTCGTTGACGAAAAACAGACCATATGGTGCACACATCTGTACAGGAAATTGAAACGTTTGTCAGTGATACTGATAACAACGAAATCCATCCCGTATTTTGTGAAACATCAAACCTACAAGACGAAGGCCTATCGTGCGCAGCATTCCTCGGTTGACAGGCTGTGCCTGTTCCGCAGAATAGTGATGCGATGCCGACCTTGATGCCTCGCATGTTGTACCTACCGCCCGCTCGGACGCTTTTGTATCGGGGCTTGTACACGCTGGCGCCGTGTACCCAAGTGCGTTTGCCGGCGATAGCTGACACAAAAACCTATCGAACCCCAGCGCAGGATCACTCGGTTTGCAAGCCTGCGTGTGCCGCAAATTCGTGATGCGTTGCCGGTCGTGATGCGTCGCACATTGTATCTGCCGCACGCTCGGACGCTGTTGTGTCGGGTACCCAAGCGCACTCGCCGGTGATTTTGTGATGGCTTACACGAACGCTACGCCGAATACTAGTAACCTTAGTAGTGTGGTGAACTTTTGAGGACATCCCAGTTTGGTGAGGATAGTCCACAGTGCTTCCCTGTTGATGCTATC